CCCCCTTCCCCCTTATCCCCTTATCCCCTTGAAACCCTTTCCATAGTGGAAGAGTGTCCCAGAAATGATCCACATAATGCTTCTGGTCTGCAGTTCACATGCCATCACAAATGATGTTGACATCTTGGAAACAGCCAAAGCAGCAGAGTTCTTTCATTCAGATGGGGTTGTTATAACTGGTATCTCTACAGGATCCCCCGCAAGCTACAAGGAGATGTTAGCAGTACATGATGCAGTATCTGTGCCAATAATAATAGGATCTGGGGTGGATATCAGTAACGTGGACCAATATCTAAGTGCTAATGCCATGATAATAGGGTCRCATTTCAAGGAAGATGGCCATTGGTCCAAACCTGTCAGTTTTGACAGGGTTAAGAGCTTCATGGCCAAAGTCGAACAAATCAGAAAATAAAAAGTTAAATAAAGCTGCCGACTGTTGAAGTCATGAACTTTTACATGCTCTGCTCTGAGAGTACACGTGGCCCAAGCACCCCGTTTTGGGCAACTTGTAATATTTTGTTTTTCAGGTTTCAATGACTGAACTCGCTAGCGAAATTTCCCAAAAAATAATGGTTAACATGAAATAAATACAATTTATCTTGATCTTGTTGTGCATTTTGTAGTATGTAATTTCCTGATGCTGGAAGTTGATTGCTGCTTCTAGCCTTATTTTCAGTCATTTTTTGATGGAAAACCCTTTCCAGACATCAATGTTTTTTGATGGAACACCCTTTCGAGACACTGAGACATACTGTCAAAAGGGCGGATCCAGCCAAAGTTTTRGGGGGGGGGGGGGGGCTAATTTAGTTTCTTCCGTCAATACAAAGGAAAACAATTWAAAAAAGGCATATAATTCTTCAATTTGGGGTTTTTTTTCTGCTGCCTTTGCTTCCCCCCTCCCCCCCTGGATCCGCCCTTGCGTCAGTGTTTGATGGAGAACCCTTTCGACTGGCTTATCRGACACCATTTTAGTCTTGATTTTTTTGATGGAAAACCCTTTCGATTGAGACCTACCAATTTCAAASTTTTTTCACCTAAAATGGACTTAATCCACCTAGACATATGGCCGTATTAATTCTCGTTCTAAACCATGTGTCATTCTCTTGAGATYGAGTTTAGCTATATTCTTGTGTCTTCTCATGTRCAATCGTTAAACAAAGGTACGATACTTTAGTGAACGACACGATGTATGAAATRGGAAAACAGTGAATTACTGGGCATATTGCGTATTTAATAGAAAAGACTTTGAAGATGCCACATAGAAAATTATAGCACCCTCTCCTCAGCTSCGCCCCCGTTATAAACCCATGAAGTTATCATGTTCGAATGGACATGGGTTTCCTGTGGTTACTCATTCCCTCTCGTTCTTAACCTCGTTTTGAAAACAAGATTCTTGAATCAAAATAAAGGATATTGAAAGGTAAGTTGTGCTTTTATTTATTTTATTTTATTTCTACGTTCAGTATTTTCTAGAGATTCATTCTCATTATATRAAGTCTTTAATCTTTCGATTTTTTATTTCCTTTCTTGCCGGATGTTATGATGATAGTTTCGACAAAAGAGATGAATRAAATTCGCGCCTCGAAAAATTCCCGGAAAAATGGACAGTTTTCTCATAAATTATTAAGTCTTGTGTTTTCTTAGTTATGTTTTATAATAATTTCGTTTGTTTATGCTACAAAAAAATTGTGGCACATAAATGTCTGAACCACAAATTCCACACTATTAACTATGTCCCACACTATACTATTGATTATTCAACATACGAAATCATAACTTGATTTTATACAAATTTTATTTAGAGATTCGAAATAAGCTTAGCAGACAAGAGACATTCTCGGACATTCTGTACTTTTCTATATTAATTATAACAGCTTTTTCCTGCACTCTGTAGTACAGTAATACAGTATAGAGGAAGAATGGAAGGAGATGTGTGAGCTGTTAAGGATCAAGAGAGGGAAAAGCTGAATTCCTTTTCGTTTTAGAATTTACATACTTAACCATAAATAGGCATGATTTTCTGCATCCTAGCTACCTCTTGCCACACTTGAAGCATTACTGAGACAAGAGGGACTAATATAAAAGTGCTCAATCTTATGATTGTGGTATTCATTTGTCCAAAATGAGTACGAAGATTAKTACTGATCTTCAAGGAGGTCCAGAGGGGCCTACTTTATTTACCCCATAGGCTTCCATTCTTACACACTTGCCTCCAGGTGCTGCATGAAGTAACTGATGCATTCTAAATTAGAAAGGAAAAGATCTTCATTTGTAATTCGTGTGGACTTTGTATCATTTAAATTCTTTGGAAGGCAGGCTGCATGCTTGGATTACATCTTTCTTGAAGGAGAAGTTTTGTCACAAAGTTTTAACTGTTAAATGTACATGCTGTCAGGGGGAACCTCAAAAGTATTTACAGGGCAACATGCAAAAATAATACCAGTGATAARGTTTTACATACTTTTATGTACAGGCTTTTGTGCCTTAAATTGACCCACTTCGATGTGAAGGTTTTACAACATAAACGTGTACAAGCTTGTTTGGCAGCAAAACACCATGCATAGGAGTATGCAAATAGCAGCAGTAAGGGGGACTCGCGGTCAATGTCAAAGATTTACGGGTTTTACAGGCGGTTTAAGGAAGGCGCCGGCAGCGGGAAATACCCGCGCGACAAGTCCTTACTGCTGCTGTGTTGGGAATTAAAGGGTCGCAAATGAGGGTTAAAATATTYGTTGGATATACGATGCATGAATGTAAAGAGTTTGCTTATGACTTCTGTATAATTTGCCTAAGACCCAAAGTTAACATACCCAAGCCCAAGGGTTTCTGGTGTTGTGGTAAGAAAATGCAAATAGAAGACGACACGTCAGCGCAGTGTTACGAATGTGGTAAGAATATTCGTAATGCCGTACCAAATGCCACCAGAGAGCAGTATTACGCCAATGGAGGTCGTAAGAAAACACCTTATAAGAGAATAAAATACTTCAGGGACTGGATGAGTCATATCCAAGGTTATCG